GGGTTTTTTTTTTTAATCATATTCTGGGTGTGGAACAGGGGTCACTGCGGTGTGTGGTGGGGTATTGATGAATTTCCTGCATTGTGCAGGGGGTTGGACCAGATGACCCTGGAGGTCCCTTCCCACTCTATGAGTCTATGATTCTATAATTCACCCAGGCTGGCTGTGGGCACGCCAGCACCTCTGTCAGCCAGAAGCGCCTGAGATCTTCCCCCTCCCCTTTTCCTTCGCCCGACTTGGAGGCGAAGGGAAGGGAGAGGGGGGAAAGAATGGATCCCAGGTGCTTCTGCCTGTCAGAGGGGCTGGTGCACACTTCCGGTGATGTCAGAGGGTGTGGCATATGCTAATAAGTGATGCTAATGAGCTCCTGCAGCTCTTTTTCTACGAAATGACCCCTGAGGTCGGAGAGCCTCTGTTGGCCAGAAAAGGCAATGCTGACCTTGACCAACCAGGGCTGTGATTCATTATAAAGCAAAGCCGCAGCGTGTGCTCCGTGAGGGAAAGATGGCATCACAGAAGGCCGCAAGCGAAGGGAGTGGAAGAATCAAGGACGTGTATTTGAAGTAACGCACTTCTTTGTGGATTTGTTATTTTTTTAAAAAAAAGGTTCAGTGTGCAAAAGTGAGGAAGTGCAGCTTTTAGTTACTCTGGACTGAGCACTGCATAGGCTTTATTTACTTAATGTTCTCACAGTGAGGTCCAAAAGCGATTTCAAACATTCTCCCGTTCTCCATTTTATCCTTTCAACAGCCCTATGAGGTAGGCTAGGCTGAGAGTGTGTGATGGTCCCAAAGTCACCCAGCAAGCTTCTGTGACACATTGGGGCCTTCCAGATCCTAGTCCCAACACTCTAACCCATGGAGAGCCACATTCACAATTACCAGCAAACAAAAAGAGCCACATGCGTGACAGACACATACAACAATATAACCACTAAATATGTAACTATAGTTTCCTCCAGTTTACCAGAGTAGCTCTGGGCATGTAAAGCTGTCTCTCCCTACCATTGTTGAACCTTAACCAGCCCTTGCACAATTCCCTCTCTTCCTTCTTGTTCTCTCCTAAGCATGGGGCACAGCAAGGCTGGGCAAGAGAGTAAGACTGCCAACATGCCTAGAGGATAACCCGCTGGCTGTGGAGAAATTGCCATAAAATCACCACCCTGCTATGGCCAGCTTGCTCTTTTCTTCCGTGGCTGCTGTGGTGGCTTTACTTTCCCTTCTCTGCAGTCAGCTTCCTCTCCTCCTGGAAGTTGCTGGGTTGAGAGCAATGTTCCCTCTAAGTCTTGTGAGCAAAAGTTCTACATTGTGAGCTACCGGCATTAAAGTTGTGAGCGAGCGATTTGGCTACTGCATAAGTTAGTTTGCTCTGGAGCCCTCCTCCCTGAGCGAAGGCAAAAATGTGTGAGCTGGAGGCTAAAAAACTGTGAGCTAGCGTTCACACAAACTCAGCCCAGAGGGAACACTGGTTGAGAGCACAGAGGCTGCAGAGAAGGGGTGGGGTGGGGTGTTGGAGAGGACAGGCCTTTTACGTCCATCCCTCTGGAATGAGGCAGACAGTTTAGGGGAGTATCGCA